TTCCATTTAAAAAAATTAATGTGACCTTGACCTGACCTTCGCTACGCAACCCAAGGTCAAACTGATGTGATCAGTAAATACATCTTTTTAAACGCCACAACTTTTGTCTGAAACATTTTTTTGTAAAACTTATATTTTTCCTGATATTCGGGCGTCCCGGTACTTTCCGAACACCCTGTATAATAGGTACTTCACCCTACAGTAAGTATCTCGTTGTTCGGATGCGTCGTTGACTCTCGAATGGAACATCCAAGTTTCCGGCCGCTAATGCCGGATTACGAACGTTTGCGCGCAAATAACAGCCGCGTCTCCTCCGACCACGTAAACTCTCCGGGCCTCATTATCGTGTTCCCACGAACTCGCTATACGTACACGCCGTGGAATAAGAGGCTGTTCGCCCCACGGTTCGTCGACCAGTGATCCAATGGTCCGCGCGAATTACTTGGGTATAGAATGGAAACGGCTATCCGGCGGCTCTGTCGATGCCGCGCACTTTTGTAACGGTTCCCTTCGACGACACCGTCAAGATACGTCACACCCAATGTCGCGGCTGATTTTTCACCTGTTTTTAAGTCTTGGCTTTTGGATGAATTTTTGGCGATGCCAGGCGATACTGCTGTACCCCGAAAACACATTGTATCAGGTATCTTGACAGTTTTCATTTTTCTCCGTCTCTTTCTCTCTTTTTGTCGTTCTCGCTCTCTTTTTTTTTACATTTCGGGAGAATATTGTCGTTCGTTGTTGTTTTTGCTATCCGCTGCGATAAAATGGACGGAACTTGCAATTCGATTCGATTCCGCTTTATTAAAGGGAAAATAATCCCTGTAAAATACAAAATGTATTTTAATAAAAAAAAATTTAAGCGCTTCGTAAATCGTATCGCTTAACGCGAATGCAATATCGTCATCGCGAGAATATCCTGAAATTTCCCAGCGTCGGATTCCTTTTTACGCGGCTCGCGGATGTGTTTTCAGTTCGGTCGAATTTTGATTACAGAAAAATAAAAAAAAAATACACCGCACACGTTCGTGTTCACCGGCGGAAAGAAATTGCGTGCCAATCGAACATCGCGCGCCAGTAATAGGCCATTAAAATGATATTTAGTCGCGCACACGTAGTCGTCATGGGAGCTTTTGGCCCGCGCAACAAAATACAGCTATTGTTGTCGGGTCATTAAATATTTATTTGCGAACCGCTGCCCGCGAAATAATTAACGAGTCCGGCCCATCACATTTGAGAAGGACGTTCGTATCAATGAAGTGATACTAAAGATTATAGGCTTTATGGGATTCGTGTGATAGAAAATTTCATTCTTCTTCAGCCTATCGGTAAATTTGGTGTCGAATTGACGTAGATGACAACTATTGTATACACGGAGAACAAAATAGGGGAGACCGGGGCTAGTTGTTCTATATTTTAGAATTTAGAAGTTACAACTTCTCAGAAAATTAATTGCTGTAACTGACTGAACAAACATGATAGAGGCAGCCTTCTTCTATGTATTGATGCTCTCCGCGATTCTGTTAACCGTATATTTTTTTCTTGTAATAACTAAAAGATAAACACAGCCATTTTTTGCCTCGGACAGCTATTCTGTACACGTGTTACTGACAACTGTCGGTTCGTTTGTGTCGTTTGCGCAGATATAATCGTATTATAAAATAACTGTGCAACGATATATATCGAATCGATAGTTGTTGGTAAACGTGTACAGAATACAGCCCTTGGTATTGGATACAGCTGCCCAGTAGCGCAAACTAAGAAGACCACATACATATATATATTTATTTATTTATTTAATCCTCTTGCCTCATCTGAGGCGTGGTGATCTCTCTCGCATATCTGTGGTGTATATTATTTGTATTCAGGTATATAGGATCTATAGTTTAACGCCGCCTCCGAACGACTAGAGTAGAGAGGTTTTTCTAACAAGGGAACCTCACGAACCCGAAAATTCAAATTTTAATGAAACTTTGCACAAATATTTTAGGTAACCAAATATTTAGGTAAACAAATAGGTTAGGTAAATAGATAAATTTAGATAAATTCAATTAGTGCTAAAAAACGGTTTGAAAGGGTGAAACCACTCTTCAAAGATACAGAAATTTTCATTTTTTTCAATATATTTCGTAAACGAAATAAAATATTAAAAATGTTTTATATAAATGTCTCTTAGAAAAATATTCTCTATTTTCTCTATTTTCTCTATTTAACTGTCATTTATTTTTCGAAAAAAAAAATTTTTTTTCAATTTACCCTTTGTACTTCTTATGTAATACATTATTTATCGTGTGAAAATTCTGATTTTAATAAAACTTGGCATAAATGTAGTAGTTAAATAAAGTCAATAATTTATAAAACTTTAGTTGATGTTTTGAAAGGATGAAACTACCCTTCAAAGATACAAAGGCTTTCGATTTTTTCGATATATTATTTCGTAAACTAAATAAAGTATCATTTCATATAAAAGTTTTATAGTAAAAATATCTTTATTTAATTATGTCATTTACTTTTTGAAAAAATTGTTTTGGAAAGTATATATGTTTATATATTCCACACGTATTATATATTCCACCATATATAATGTAGCATGTACTATGTGTGTGTATGTATTTGTGTGTATGTATGTATATGTGTGTGTATTTTATATTTATTGACACGATATAATATAAACAATATCTCTCTCACTCTCTTTACTTCAGTCTTAACTCCCTGAGTGGGGTGTAGCGGTCGTCGTGACATCATGAACGAGCTGCCTCCATCTCTGTCTTCCGTTATTCTAATGAGCTCGTGCATGGGTCTTTTCCGTTATCTGGCTGATCTATCGAATTGGAAATCTTCCCCTTGGTCTCTGCCCTTCTACTTAACCTTGAATGATAAGTCTCTCCATGTTATCCGGTTCTTTTCTCATGATATGTTCAAAGTATTTTAACTATTGCAACTGTATTCTGCTGGTAATCCTTCTTTCGATTTTAAGTTTTTTTAATATGGAATTATTTGTGCGGTGGGCTGTCCATGGGATACGTAGCATTCTCCGCCAGCAAAACATCTCAGTGGCCTCTATCTTTCTTCTTTCTACCTTTTTCATCGTCCAAGACTCACTTCCGTACGTTAGTATTGGGAATACCAGACAGTTTACTAGTCTTGTTTTTAGTTTTTTTGAAATTTGATGATCCTTCCAAATTTTCTCCAAGTTTTTCTATTGTTATCTTGGTTAAATCACATCTACGTTTTGTCTCTCCTTCTGATGAACCCGTATTCGATATTAACGATACATGTAGTTTTCAACCACTTCGAATCGGTCAATTCGTGTTATTTCAAGATGATTCTTATGCTGTCTGTCTACTATCATTACCTTTGTTTTTGATGTGTTGAGTTCTAACCCAAAAGAACGGCTTTCGTTTTCCACTCTCCGGATGAACTCGATAAGTTCTTCTTGATTTTTCGCGAATAAGGTCGTATCGTCCGCAAGTCGCAAGTTATTTATTCTTTGGCCATTAATTGATACACCATCCATCGAGCACCGTTCTCATATATATATATATATATATATATATATATAGATATTAAATAGTGTGGTGATAATATGCATCCCTGTCTTGTTCTGGATGGAACTCTCTTGACATGGTATTAAGCACTCTCACCGATTCTGTGGTATGTTGGTATAGCTCTATTATGAGTTCTATGAAGTGCCTTGGATATCCCCATGTTCTTCAATACTCGCTACAAGCAACGGCACCTGACCTTGTCAAATGCTTTTCAGTCTATGAAGCATATGTATAACGGGATGTTAAATTCTCTTGATTTCTCAATGAGCTCATGTTTAGGAGGTGCTCTCCCGTGCCTCTACCTTTAACAAATCCAGCTTGTTCTGCCGGTATTTTTTTCTGAGTGTAAGCTTTCAGTCTCTTGTTGATAATGTGCAGTATTACCTTACTTGCATGCGAAATCAGCGATATTTAATTGTCATACTTGCGTAGGCTACCATTTTTACGTATGGTGATAGTAGATTGTGTCCAATCTTTGGGCCATTGTCTAGTGCGCCATATTCTACTACAGAGAGTGTGGAGAAGTTTTACTCCCACATCTTTTGTAGACTTCAATATTTCCGCTGTTATTAGGTTTTCTCCTGGTGCTTTGTTGGATTTAAGTTTCTTAATCGCTGATTCTACTTCACTTATTAGTATTATAATATATCAGGTTTATCTTCTGCCTCCTCATTGTTTCGAATGCTGTATCCTTGGTGATGCTCATCTTTATATAGGTCCTAGCAATACGCTCTCTATGTCTCCGTAATCTCTTCTTTGTTCATTCTTATCCTCGCTATGTGATTTTCTATCGTCCATGATCTCGCTTTAAAGTTTCTTGTTATAAACTTGATTTTTCTAAACAAATCCCTTGATTGATTGTTTTGGTCGTGGATCTCTATTTCTTCACATATCTGTGTGTAATAGCATTGTTTGTCTGCTCTGCATCTGTTTCTTATTTCCTTATTAAGCATGCGCAATCTTTCCTTGTCTTCCACCTCTGTGTACTCCTCTTTGCCAGAGACTTCTTCTCTCCTCGACAATCTTCAGTGTCTCTTCTGTAATCCAGTGTTTCCTTTTTATTATCTGTTCCCTTTTCGATGCAGATGCCGTTATTATGCATTGCTTGATCTTTTCCTAGATTATCTGAAGGGGTGTGTCATTGGATATGGTGGGTATAATCCTACTTATCTTTGACCGCAAATCTGTTTCCTTCCCTCTCTCTAGCCGTTTCGGATTGACTCGATTTACGGGTGTTTTGAACTAACCTTTACTTTTGCCAACAAGAGCACGTGGTCCGATCCACATATTGCTCCCGGGAGAATTCTTACAATTTTGAAAGACGACTTCCAGCGGGTATTGGTCAAAAAGTAATCAATCTGATTTCTCGATCTATCACTCGGACTCCCCCAAATATATAGTCTGCGGATGTGATGTTTGAATCTAGTGTTTATTATGCAGTATTTGTTGTTGATTGAGAATCCAACTAGACGAACTGTCTGCTTCGTTCCTTTCCCCTATGTCATAATTTCCAAGCGTTTCCTTCAGGTTATCATTCTGGATGGTGCTCCCAACTTTTGTATTAAAATCGTTACATATTAATTCTTAATTCTTTTCCTCGTATTCTTTGAATAGTAGATTCCAACTTGGTATAGAACTCTTCGATGTCTTTTCTGTCCGCATCAGTAATCGGTGCGTAGACCTGGACAATATTTAGTCTACATGGTTTGCCATCCAATTTAAGAAGCATTATGCGGTCATTAAAAGCATTGAACTCGATTTTGGTAGCCTTGCTGATATCATAATGGCTACTCCTGTAAATTCTTGTTTTTCGCTTCCAGAGAAATAGATGTGGTTATCGTTATCGATTCTAAAGTGACCCTTACCAAACCAGTGAGTTTCTGCCAGGC